ACCATATAATGCACAATCTTTGGTATAGACTCAGACTTGGTTGTGTGGATGAGAAATTAAAGGTAACATGTTAACATAATACTTCAAATGTTTTGTTATTTTTGTTTGTTAATATTTATAGTTGTTAATTATAGATGATGATATGGATGATGATCGCCTTCTTGTACCATTAACTAATCTGGGAATTACGGAATCAAGGGAATTCACTAACACCACCATTATGGAACGAACTTTGCTTGAAGTAATCCAGGGATTACATAATATCAATTCAGTTCACTGTGTTATAATTTGGAAGCTAATGGATTTTCTACTCTTCATATCTTGTTTTACTAAGAGTTGGCCAAGAATCTTTATATATGAATGATGCCAAGTTAAATAATTTATGTTATGTATTTGTATTTGTATTTGTATTTGTATTTGTATTTGTATTTGTATTTGTATTTGTATTTGTATTTGTGTATTTGTGTTTTGTATATGTCTTCTATATGCTAGCTAAGGTTTGTGAAGTCAGAATATGTGTGCGTTTTAAATTGATGAGAAATTGAGTTGGTTGTGTGTTGAAATAAATTTTTAGGAGTTGATTAAATTGTGGTGGTGTGATTTTCATAGAAAATTGAAGTGTTCAATTGATGTTGTTCGTTTGATTGATTGTTCTTTTATCAAAAGACCAATTGTTCTTTCCCATGTTTTGTTTACTAATAGTTGGCCTGAGAATTATTGAGTTTGATGAACTGGTGGTAAAATGATTGATGAAATGTGGCCTAAATACAAAGAGATTGATGTGGACTTCAAGGGACTTTTTTGATGCTAAGAAGTTGGATAAAGAAATAGAGAAATGAAAGGAAAGGAAGTTGTTGTGTAAGCGGGTACTTGCGAATCCACCCGTACCCGCATAAGGTAGGGTATCGGTCCAAATTTAGTTACTCGTACAAAATTAAGTATTTTTGGACCCGTACCTATTTTACACGTACTCGCGATGACCTGATCCATACCCACTTGGCGTGCTTGTTTTGCCAGGTCTACCTCAAGGTGATTGAGAGGTCCTATCAATAGGCTGAATAGGTGAAAAAGTTATGGGTACAACATGATTTATAGGTGGTAAAGCCATATTGGAGGTAAACGATTGAGTTAAATATACAACACAATTTTTATCAAAGAAGGTAAAAGGTGATCAGAAAAAAGTTAAGAAATTGGTAATTTACATGAAGGTAACCAATCAAGACTTGTAGTGTTGTTAAGGGAAGAAAAGTGTGGTCTGGGAGGGTTGACAGAAAGAGAGAATACTCATAAAAGACCACATGTCTAGAAATATAAACACGCCTAATAGGAATATGAAGGCAACAATATCCTTTGTATTTATCACTATAACCTATGAACACAAGGGGATCGAGCACTAAGTTTTTCTTTGGACTAAGATTGCAGATATAGATAGCATTGGCAGTCAAAATGCGAAGGTAGTCATAAGTAGGATGCTTTTGATGGAGAAGATAAATGGTGTAGTCATACCCAGTGATGGTGAAGGCAATCTATTGATTAAAAATATGGAAGTGAGGAAAGCATTCACCCAATATCTTTTAGCCATATATGCACATATCCTCATGGCTAGTCCTAATTCCATCACATAGCGATGTTTCCGTTCAACTACATTATTCTGTTCAAGAGTACCTAGGCCGGACAACTGATGAACAATACCTTTGTGAATTAGATGAGCAATAAATCCTCAATTGGAAAACTATCCTCCATTATTGGAGTGGAAAATTTGTATCTGCCATCAAAATTGCTTTCCAACCATAGCCTCAAATGTGAAAAAGATCTTGTAGAAATCTGAATTCTGTTTAAGAGGATAGAACAATTGAAACGGGAAAATCATCAATAAATATAAGATAATAACGAAAGCCTTGATTAAAAAAAAAAAAAAAAAAAAAATGGGGGCTGGTCCCTAGAGATCATAATGTATCTTGGAAATAAGTACACGTGCTTTACTATTTGAAGAAAATAAATGAAACTTGGAGCTTTTTTGCTTAAAGCACAACTTTTACACACTCCAATATTCTTCTTATTAATAGGAATAAACTTATGTTGTTGTGGAAAACTCTAGACTCCAAAATTAGGGTTTCCTAATCGCCCATGCCAGGTGTCGGCATCTACTACCCGAAACTGATTGGAAAAGAAAGTTGTGTGTGTGGTATTTTCCAAGACATGTAAACCAGCCTTTTTACTCCCTAATGCCAACACCTAATGTGTCTGTTGATCCTTAATAAGAAAATCATGAGCATCAAATGTAACATAACATGGATGTTCACATATCAATTGAGAAACAAAGATTAATTTCTTTTTTATATCAGAAGCCACAAGCATATTGTTCAACGATAAATGAGAATCCTATGAAAATAATATATTTTTTCCTAACATATGTGATAGGTAATTTGTTCCTGTTACACCTAAAAAATCAGGGTTGACATAAGCTGATGTTAGTGAGCACCAATTAGAGTTCAGGAAGGTTTTTCACTGTCCAGAGTCTGCCACATCGCCCAAGACAGAAAGAATATAGCTATCAACAGCCTAGCCGACTCAAGTTTTGTCTATGAATGAATTTGGTTCGCACACCTATCCAAGCCCCATTTAATTTAAGGATATTTCTTAAGTTATCAGCTAGTTAGATACTAGGAGAGATCTGCATGGCACCAACCCACTTGCAGATATGTAATCATTACCTTGAGCTTAGCGGGCATAAATAGGCAGCTCCCCCGTACAAAATCGGGATTAGACACTTTGAATTCAATAAAACAAATAACGAAGACACACTACAAGAAATAGACTAGCTTGATATTCTCTAAGAACATTTAGAGCACCAAGCACCTATAACTAAAATTGCAGTTTGTGACCTCTTGTAATCTTGGTAATAACCAGGAACTCACCAATATATAAGAAAACAGTGGATGTAGGAATCGTTTTAAGCATCCGAACTACTATAAAAAACTTTATTGTCTCATTTATCTTACGTCTTTGCATGCTACTGTGAGAACAATACTTTATTCAACTCACATAATTCTTCACATGTAATTTCTAAGGCTTTCTTAGCACTTTCCACGTGTGAGGTCGTTGGTGTCAAAATCAAGCATCAATAATTTGGCGCTAGAAGGAGGGCCCAGATTCACATCAGCTCTCTATCCGGTATTCTCAACTGATCAATTAGTTTTACCTTTAAAGATCAACCACCAAATATTATGGCTCGTGGTTTTGAAGCTGAGCGCGTTGGCACCAATAACAAGGAGATTCCCCGCATCCAAGAGACTGCTCTTCCCGAAGTAGTCCCTCATACCAAAAATGTTGCAGAGAGCATCCTCTCAACTTCCCAGGCAGATCCTGCTTTGATCGGCTACTTGGATAAGTTCAACAACACTCTCCAAACGATGAACCAGAGATTGGATCATTTGGACCAGGTCATGCCACCAAATTCTGACAAGGTAATACCACATTTGAAAATGCCTGTAGGTCGCTCTAAAGCATGGAAACAAGCGAAAGCTCATACCACATGCACTACAGTGCAAAAAAGTAAGGGTAAGCAAGTGGCCGAGCAAGGGCAGAAATGCTCAAAGGGGCAAACGAATAGTGGTCGCGAGTAGGGGAAGAAATTTGTAGTTCAACAACTTGGCAGTATGTCACACCAAGAGCAAGCCCATGGCACGTCACAAGGGCACACCCATCAGAGTGCCAGGCATGAAGATTCCTATTATCGTTGGCATGATGGTTCTGACCATCACCGCAAGGGAAATACCCACCATTAGCGGGTCAGTTTGACCACTATAGAGGTAGGGAAAACTCTCCCAGCCACTTAATGCCTTCACAAGGCTCAGGCCCGCAAGTGTCAAGGCACACCAAAGGCTCCGACCAAGGTAGAGAAAGCACCAACCTGTAGTCTTTCATTAACCACAATCATAGAGAGCGTACCTACATTGCAGAAAATGATCCCCAAAGGGCTCGCTTCCTTAGATAGAGGAGTTACAGTGAGCTATGGATCAACTTCGAGCTCAACAGAATGAGCAGGGAGTGGTCACTGTGGCATTTCCCTTTTCTCCAGCAGTTCTGACTGCTCCTTTCCTATCAAGATTCAGGATGCCTAACATGAAGGCCTTCGATGATAATGCTGATCCTTAGGATCACCTCTATGACTTTAATGACCTCATGGAGCTTCACCAAGTTTCAAACTTGGCAAAGTGTCGCTGATCAGCAGTGACTTTGACCGCCCACACCAAATGTTGGTTCAGATCGCTTCTACCAGGGTTTATCAACTCGTGGCAGTAGATGAGCTCCTTATTCTTGAGACACTTCCAGGCTAATCGAAAGTTCTCGATGCCACTCAATTATTTAAGCAACATACGGCAGGAGAAGAATGAGTTTCTCCAATCTTACATTGAAAAGTTCCATAGGGAACTGAATGAGGTGGCTAATACACTTGAAGATTCAGTTCGAACTCTGATCATTGTTGGAGTTTGCCTGTAAACAGACCTGTGGGAAAAATTGTAATCGGAGAACGATATTTCCGTCACTCGCTTCTACAACCTAACAGAGAAATATTTGCGGATAGAAAACTCAGTGGCAGCTTTAAATCACCACGACCCCGGTCCTTCGACCATCGGTCCCTGTCGGAGGGATGAATTTCAGGGAGAGAGTAGTAGAAGAAATGATCATAAATGGGCTAATGACGATCAGAGAAAGGGAAAGAAACAACAGTTTGTGACGTAGTGAGTTAGCGTGAATAAACAAGGGTAGCACTCGACTACACCTTTAGAACTAATAAACAAGTCTCAATCCAGAAACTTAAACTGTGAAATCTGAAGAAAAAGCTGAATAATGCATTGAATATTCTCCATAACAAAAAATAAGTTTATATAGGGTGACAACCAACCCTAATAAGACTCCTAATAACAAAAGGAAACAAAAACTAAATCAATTAAACAAGAAAATCCGAAATAAAATAGGAAAAAACACGTAAATAACTAAAAGAACCTCGAAACATGCCAAAACGGTGGAATTTGACCTTGAAAATGACCTCCAACTGGCTGAAGATGGTGAATAGGCTCAAAACGGTGGAATTTCACAACTTCAGTTTGGCCGTCAGTTTGTGGATGAGTAGTATTGCTGTAATTCAGAGACGAATCGAACTTCCTCCACAATGTTCTCCAAAAATGGCCAAGGAATTTGCTATCTCGATCAGAAGTAATGGATTTAGGCACCCCATGCAGACGGACAACCTCCTTGAAAAACAATTTGGCTGTTCCGTTTGTGTCTGATGTCTTCTTGCAAGGTATAAAGTGAGCCATTTTAGAAAACCTATCAACCACAACAAAAATAGAATCTACACCCCTTTGTGTCCGAGGCAATCCAAGCACAAAATCTATAGATAAATTCTCCTAAATATTTTCTGGAACAGGTAAAGGCATATACAAACCAGTGTTTTGGGACTGCCCCTTGGCAGTTTGACATATGTAACATCGCTGCACAAACTTTGGCATGTCTTTCATCAAGTATGGCGAATAATATCTATCACCAACAGCAGCAAGCGTTTTGTCACGCCCTAGGTGACCAGCAAGACCTCTACCATGTAAATCTCAAATGAGCTTCTCTCTCAAGGAAACTTTAGGGATGCAAAGCTGGTTGCCTCGCATGAGAAACCCATCATGAATGTGAAATTCTCCAGCAGATTGGTTTGTAACACACTGTTCCCATATCTTTTGAAAATCTTCACCTGTTTCATATAATTCCTTCACTGTCTCAAACCCCACAACTTCCTATCTCATGGTCACCAATAAATCAGCACGTCTACTTAATGCATCTGCTACTTTATTCTGTATTCCCGCTTGGTGTCTTAGCTTGAAAGGAAATTTCTGCAGAAATTGAGTCCACCTGGCTTGCATGTCTCTACTAATTCGCTTCTGACTATTTAAATATTTCAAGGCTTCATGGTCAGAGTACAAAACAAACTCACACCCCACTAAATAATGCTTCCAAGTCTTTAAAGCACACACAATAGAATAAAACTCCTTATCATACGTAGCCCATTTACGCCTCGTATCGCTAAGTTTTTCACTAAAATAAGCTACTAGTCTCTCATTTTGTGAAAGGACAACTCCTATTTCCACACCACTAGTGTCACACTCAACTTCAAACAAGGCCTCAAAATTGGGCAGTGCTAAAATAGGAGCAATGCACAATTTATCCTTTAACACAACAAAGCTAGTTTCAGATTCCTTACTCCATTGGAACTTCCCTTTCTTCAGACATTCTGTAATAAGTGTTGCAATACTATTGAAATTTCTGATAAAACGCTTGTAGAAGGTCGCCAACCCATGAAAACTTCGAATATCCTTTACTGTTTTTGGGGTAGGCCATTCTCTAATTGCTCGAATCTTTTCTTCATCTACTTGAATACCATCTGCCCTGATAATATATCATAGGAACAACAACCTATTTGTCATAAAACTACACTTCTTTAGGTTCACATACAACTTGTTTTTCTGTAAAACTGTTAGTACCTCGCACAAGTGTTGAATGGGCTCTTCGTCTGCTTGACTATAAATCAGAATATCGTCAAAATAAACAACTACAAACTTCCCAATAAAAGGTTTCAATACCTGATTCATTACTCTCATAAAAGTATTTGGCGCATTCGAAAACCCAAATGGCATCACAAGCCATTCATACAAGCCCTCCTTTGTCTTAAAGGCTGTTTTCCACTCGTCCTCAGGTTTAATTCGAATCTGGTGGTATCCGCTTTGCAAATCAATCTTCGTAAACACTTGTGCCCCATGCAACCTGTCAAGCATGTCATCCAGCCAAGGAATCGAAAACTTGTACCCTACAGTAATTTTCTTTATGGCCCTACTATCAACACACATCCTCCAACTCCCATCTTTCCTTGGCGTTAGTAAGGAAGGAATTGCACATGGACTCATGCTCTCTTGGATGTACCCCTTTTCCAATAATTCCTCTACCTTTTCTTTCATAATCTCGCTCTCCTTTGGACTCATCCTATGATGTGGTAGGTTTGGCAAGCTAGCCCCAAGAATTAGATCAATATGGTGCTGAATATCCCTCATAGGTGGTAACCCATCAGGTAAGTCCTCTGGAATCACCTCACTAAATTCTTCTAATAATGGCCTGATTACTTCTGGGTACTCTTCTTTCTTCAACTCCTCTTCAGCAGTCAATACTTGTTTCACAATTAGTGCATGCATCACCCTTGATGCCTTGAAAGCAACTTCTAATTCTGACCCTGAATGTGTAATAGTAAAGAAGGTAAGCCCCTTCACTTTAGAAGCTTTGGTTTTGGAACTCTTTTTCATTGGCAGGAAGGTAAATTTGACGCCATCTTTTTCCAACTTATAGGTATTTTGTTTCCCGTCATGTTGTGCTGCGACATTGAATTGCCATGGCCTACCAAATAATAAACTACAAGCATCAATATCTACAACATCAAAATATACCTCATCTCTATATTGTCCAATGGAAAAAGGAACCTTGCACCGTTTTGTTACTTGAATTTTCTCTACTGCCTTAATCCGCCTAATAGTGTATGCGTTGGGGTGCTTCTCAGTTTTCAGACCCAATCTCTCAACAACATCTCTGCTAATAATGTTTTCACAACTACCACTGTCAATAATCACATCAAGTAAAAGGTTAGTGATAATGCACCTGGTTCGAAATAATTGATGTTGCTGGGTGTTATCCTCCTGTTTTGGTGTTAGCATCAGTCTCCTCACCACATAACTCTGGCCATCATCTTCATCATCCTCATACTCATCATCATCCCCATCTGGACCACAATAAACCTCATCATCCTCTTCTCCTCGTTCCACAACATGGATTACTTTTCTGAGAGGACAATCGCTCGATCTATGACCAGGTTGGTTACATTTGAAACACTTCCCAGGGATTGGTTTCGCATAGGGATTTGTAGCTTTCTGCCCTTCCTTCGTATCTACTATCTTCTGTTTTCCAGTCGCCTTTTCTTCTCTGAATTTATCATTGCATGCAGGAACATCCTGACTTGCCTTATTCTTTTCATTGTTTATTCTATAATTCTCCCTGCTATAATTCTTGCGTGAATAATCTGGTATACTCTTCTCTTGCAACAATAGTTCAGCCTTTAATGCAAAGTTTCGTGCCTCCGCTAAATTCCACATTACCGCCAGATGCTCTACATGAGTTTGAGCCCAAGAAATCTTATGCTTCAGTTCCTCATTACGCCTACAATAACTTCACTCCACTCAATTCATCGGTTTCAGTCATTTTGGACAAATCAATAGAAACTAATCTACTCGGAGAGCTAGAACCCATGAAGTAACCCTTGTCTAAAAGGAATGGCAAGAAATAATGACGTTACCATAGAGTGTCGAGCTCTTAAGCAAGCAATTGAAGACCTTATCCAGAAAAGGCACTTCAAAGAGTATATGAATGGTCCAACTCCCTTGAGGGAGAAAGACCAAGATGACGGTGGGGAAAGGCATAGAGGTCACAAGGGTCTTTACTTGGTAGGGACCATCATTGGGGCACCTTATATCTCAGGGACCTCTCGGCATGCATAGGATAAGTATACCCGAGAAGCCTGATATGAGCCCTTCAATGTGCTTTATCTGGAATCGCAACCAAGCAAGCTACGTAGAGAAGAGGAGATTACCTTCTCTGAGAAAGATGCGAAACGAGTGCACCACACTCATGAGGATGCACTTGTTGGCATGGCTAAGATAGGAAGGTGCGAATTCCATAGGATGCTGGTAGACAATGGGAGTGTCGTGAATATCCTATTTTAGTAAGCTTTTGAGAAGATGAAGTTGGAAGATACATACCTGAAACCTGTAGTTGCTCCTCTTTATGGTTTTACCAGGGACTATCTAACTCCCCGAGGAATGATTTCTCTTCCACTCACTTTGGGAGATCCTCATAAAGTGACCAAGATGATAGAATTTCTAGTAGTGGATTATCCTTCAGCAATCAATGGCATTCTCGGATGACCTCTACTATGAAACTTCAAAGCTGTCACCTCCATCTACCATCAGAAGATGAAGTTCTCCACTCCGACAGGGTGTGGGAAAGTTAGGGGATCACAACGTGAATCTCGCGACAGCTATAATAGGGCAGTCTAGATGGCATATAAAAGGAAAGGGAAACCCGAGGGCAACCTCAAACAAGTAAAGGTGATCAACAGTAGGCCGGTTGAGACTTTATTTGAGGTACCTGTTGATGAGCATGGGCCAACTCGTGTGATGAGAATCGGAAGTAACCTCAGCCCTCAGCTCGCAGCCAATTTAGTGAGCTTCCTTAGACAGAATATCAATTTTTTTTTTTTGCATGGATGCATGCTGACATGATCAGGATCAACCTCGAGGTCATATGTCATGCACTTAACATCAACAGTGAGTTCAAGACAGTTTGCTAGAAAAGAAGTGCTACAGACCTAGAGCGCTATGCAACTCTTAAAATATAGGTGGACAAGCTCCTCTCAACTGGGTTCATTTAGAAATTTCATTACCCCAGTTGGGTCTCCAATCCTGTTTTGGTGAAAAAACCCAATGGTAAATAGAGAACTTGCATTGATTTCACAGATCTCAACAAAGTCTGCCCAAAAGACAATTTCTTTCTGCCCAGAATAAACCAACTTATTGATGCCACTTCCGGGCATGAGCTATGAGCTTCATGGATGCCTATTTGAGATACAATCAGATCCTAATGTTCACGTCTAACGAGGAGCACACCTCATTCATCACAGATTAGGGGCTTTATTGCTACAAAGTCATGCCCTTCGACCTAAAAAACACGAGGGCAACCTACCAGCATCTAGTTAACCATATGTTTTCCGAGTAGATCGGGAAACAATAGAGGTCTATGTTGATGACATGCTGGTCAAGTCGCATGTCACTTTAGATCACATAGCCCACCTCACAGAAATGTTCAATTTACTCCGTAAATACAAAAGGAAACTTAATCCTCTTAAATGTTGATTCGAAGTAGCTTCAGGTAAATTCCTGGGGTGCATGGTTAACCATCAAGGAATTGAAGTCAACCTCGAGAAAATCCAAGCTCTCCTAGTTATGAAGAGTCCCACAAATTGCAAACATGTCAGAGCTTGAATGGGAGAATAGAGACTTTTACTTGCTTCACATTGTGAGCTACAGATTGCTGTTTGTCGTTCTTCAATATACTGAAGGCCAACAAGAAATTTGAATGGACTCTAGAGTTTGAGTAAGCTTTTTAGAGCATAAAAGAGCATCTTGGATAGTCACCTCTTCTGTCCAAGAGACTTCCCAAAGAAATTTTATTTCTCTACCTGTCCGTTTTTCAGTATGCGGTCAACGCAGTTCTATTCAGGAAGAAAAAAGAATTCAATAGCCTATTTATTACACCAGCAAACGGTTATTGGATGTCGAGTCAAGGTATCCAGAGATGGAGCGACTAGCTTTTGCCTTAGTAGTAACCTCCAGGAAGCTGTGACCTTATTTCATGCCCATACCGTCCATGTTTTAACAAATTACTAGCTCAGACAGGTTTTTCAAAAGCCAAAGGCCTCAAGAAAATTGCTTAAATTGACCATGGAATTAAGTCAGTTCGATCTGCCTTATAGATCGAAAGTAGCAATTAAAGGGCAAGTTGTGGCTGACCTTATATCAGAGTTCTTCTATCAGCCAGATCGAGAACCCGACCAGCTAGCCAGCAAAGTTATCTAAGAAACTGTTTGAAATATGTAAACATGGAGCCTCTATATTGATATGTATTCTAATAGGAGAAGAGCCCAAGCCAGTCTTCTACTCATCAGCCCTGAGGGTACTTGCATCTATGGAACTCTTAGGTTTGGATTCAAGGCCACTAATAATGAGGTCGAGTATGAAGCACTATTTACTGGTCTGCAACTAGCAAGAGAGATAGGGTTTGAAATGATCGACATCAATAATGACTCCCAGCTGGTAGTCAACCAGATATTGGGAAAGTATCAAGCCAAGGAAGAAAATCAAGCCAAGGAAGAAAATATGATCAGTTACTTGAAAAAAGCCAAGGCTGTACTCGAGCCTTTCAAGCACTATACAATCAAGCGAATCTTGAGAGATAGCAACTCTATTGTGAATGCTTTGGCGAAGATAACTTCATCACTAGACTCCACTGTGCTAGATAATATCCTGGTCAAATACATCGAAGTTCCCAAAATCAACTCACCCGACCAGACAATAGCTACAACTGAATCTGTGTCTTGGATGACTCCCTCATTCAGTATCTCAAAGGAGGGGTTCTTCTTAACATCAAGACTGAGGCAAGACTCCTACAAACTAGAGCTGCTCATTACACCCTAATCGGAGATCAATTATACAAAAGAGGATTTAGCACTTCTCTTCTCTAATATGTGACAGATGAAGATGAGGGGATCTGTGGTAATCACATTGTCGCATGATCTCTCACCAATAAAATTATCTGTCAGGGATATTATTGGTCTTGGCTTCACGAAGATACCAACAACTTTGTGAAAAAGTGTGACAAATGACAAAGATTCGCGAATGTACCACGAGCTACTTCCCACCAATTGACAACGATGACCAGTCCTTGACCATTCGCTATGTGGGGAATTGATCTCATCAGTCCTATTCCAACCGGTAAAGGTGGCATCAAATATGTTGTGGTAGCAGTGAATTATTTCACTAAGTGGGTGAAGGCAAAACCTTTGGCCGTGATCATCACAAAGAAGCTCTAAGACTTCATCTTCAAGAATGTAGTGTGTCGCTGTGGAATTCCTCATACACTTATCTTAGATAATGGAAAACAGTTTGACAATGAGGAGTTTAAGCAATTTTACGAAGAGTTAGGGACTTATAAGAAATTTATCTTAGTAGCAAGACCACAAGCTAATAGACAAGTTGAAGCTGTCAACAAGACCATTAAGCACACTTTGAAGGCCAAGCTTGGCGCAACAAAAGGCAATTGGGCCGATGATCTTCCAAAAGTTCTATGGGCATATAAAACAACTCTAAGAACTTCTACTTTAGAAACACTATTCTCACTAGCATATGGCTGCGAAGTAATGGTCCTAGTTGAAGTAGGGACTAGTTCCCTTCAGAGAGAATTTTATAATGAGGCAGAAAATGAAGCACTTATATGTGCAAGTCTAGACTTGGTTGAAGAACACCACAACAAAGCTCGGTTAATGATAGCTTCCTATCAACAATGAGCTAAGATGTTCTTCAACTCCAAAGTCAGGAGAAGAGACTTCCAGGTCGGCGACCTGATCCTCAAAGAAGTCATTCTCGGTACAAGAGAGCCAAGCGCATGGGTATTGGGGCCTAACTAGGAAGGTCCCAATCGAGTTGCTAAAGTGATACGACATGGGACTTATCATTTCAAAAGACTCAATAGTTCTCAAGTACCGCGAGCTTGGAGTGCTGAACATTTGCGACCATATTACCAATAAATTTCAAGCTCTTGTATGGTTTTTTTATGATCTCTTTTACTTGTAATTTTCATCAAAAAGATTATTCTCACTCTTCCCTAGGAATTACTTGTGTTATAATCTCAGGTTTTTATAATGTTGTTATTTACAATGTTTTACAAGTTATGCTATCAAAAAAATTGTATTCATTTAGTAAAGTACTTAAATTCTAAAAGTGCCATCACAAATGATAAAAAGTCTTGTATGTATATTCAAAAAATATGTACATGGACGATTAGAGAGCTACATCAAAAGTAAAGAGAAAAATGAGATTTTTCTAAAGCAAGCAGAAGGGAAGACGATCAATTCTCTTGAACTTTAGGATCCCTGACTTTAGATGCTATGACCTTAGGTTTGATAGCTTGGTCTTCAGGATTCTTTGTTTCTTGGTGATCCCCCTCCTGGACAGTCTTCGCGTCTTCTTGTTTTTCAACAGACTGCATTGATGCGAGGGCTACTTGATATTCCTCAAGAAGGCTGAAAAGTCTAAGTTTGGGTTGTACTTTCACAAGTTATGAATAACTTACAGCGACCAGTGCCCAACCTTCTTTTCCACCTCAATATTGAGTTGCCGCATCTACTTGGTCAGCGAAATGACTTACTTGCGAGACACTTCGAGCTCTGTATCTTTCACTCTTATCTTTTTCTCTGTGTTCACCCACAATGAAGCTCGAGATTCCTCCATTTCTTTCTTGCGGCTTAAGCTCTCTTGAAGCT